TGCCCTGACTTCCCTCAAGGATGGACTGTGATTGGGATGTGTAAGCCAAATACATCCGTCCCTCCCCAAGTTACTTTTGGTCATGGTGTTTAATCACAGCAACAGAGAGCAAATCAAGACAGTTCACATACTGGATCTGAGTTAGCATTTTAGTATTTGACCCTGTGTTACTCCTGAAGTCCAGGACTAATTGGAAGTCCAGCATAATTGGAAGCAGCCTTTCACCAAACTGGTTGTTACTTCATGCTGGAAGGCCCAAGCAGAATGTGTTAGTGAGGGAACATTTGAGAAATGGGATGCAGTGTTTTTACAATCACATTGGGAAATAAAAAACAAAAAAACAAAAAAAGAAAAACCATGAAATCAGATTTGCTGTTTTCAAAGAATGCAGGGCTGGCTGGCCACACACCAAGATGTTGCTCCACAGAGAAAATAAGACAACCAGGGACGAACTGCAACACAACTGCTTTGTCCCCACACAAAAGAATAAAGGCTGAGGCATGGCCAGCATGTGGGGGAGCTGCAGAGAAGACTGAAGGGAGGCCTTTTTCTCCTTACTCTTGTGTTAACTCTTATTGTAAACTGAGAAATGCTCATTGTTTCTGAAGAATAGAAACAGATTTCCCCAGTCTCTTTTATTCAGTAGATGAGGAGAAATAATCGGATATAAAGTATTTAAAGCAGTCATGAAAATGCATGTTTATTAATTTCATTCTAGAGACAATCACTGATTTTACAAGATGGATATTGAACTTAAACAGGTTGATTAGCATCGAAGAAATTAAAGATGGTGAAGAGATGTCATTTATAAGGTGATCACAACTAGATTGTTTCCATCCGTTAGAGAACAGATAGTCTGTTTGTTACATAAATCATTTGAGAGAGAGAGAGAGAGAGAGAGAGAGAGAGAGAGAGAGAGAGAGAGAGAGAGAAGAAAGCATTGTGGCTGACACCTGTAGTCCCAGCACTCGAACTAGAGAAGGGGGATCAGGCGTTGAAGGCAGCTAGGGTTTGATCTATGGAGAATTGGAGACTGTCTCAGTCAGGGTTACTATTGCTGTGATGAAACACCATGACCAAAAGCAAGTTGGGGAGAAAAGTGTTTTCAGCTTACATTCCCATATCACTGTGCATCTTTGGAGGAGGTCAGGAGAGAAACTCAAGCAGGGCAGGAACCTAGAGGCAGGAGCTGATGCAGAGGCCATGGAGGGGTGCTGCTTACTGACGTTCTCCTCATGGCTTACCCAGCCTGCTTTCTTGTAGCACCCAGGACCACCAGCCCAGGGATGGCAGCACCCACATTGGGCTGGACTCTCCTCCATCAATCAATAATTAAGGTGCCCCACAGCCAATTTTATGGAGGCATTTTCTTAATTGAGTTTCCCTCCTCTCAAATGATTTTAGTTTGTGTCAAGTTGATACAAAACTACCCAGCACAGGCACCAACTGGGCTACTTCAGACCTTATCTCAAAAGCAAACAAAAATCTGGGAAGAGGGTGGAAAAAACGACCCAGAAATTAATAGGGAATTCTGCTTTTGTAGAGGACCTGTTTGAATTCCAGAACCCATGTCAAAGTAATTCTAATTCCAAGGGATGTATTGTATTGTATGTGGTTTTAATGTCAACTTGCCACAAGTTAGACTCACCTGAGTAGGGAGCCTCACCTGAGGAACTGTCCTGTTCGCCCTGATGGATGTGGGAAGACCCACCCCCACTGTATCAGTGCCTTATGGTGGGAGCTCAGAATTAAAAAAAAAAAAGTGTGGTTTTTGGTTGTT